GCTTATTTATTTATTTTTTACATATTTAGCAGCATTCCGTGTTCAACAATTTGAATCGCTTCAAGCCTTCCTCTTCCTCTGAAGTACAGCTTTGTTTGGTGCTCCAGTTCTGTATAAAAATTGAGTGCGCCGTCATAACAAATCGGCTTCAATAGTGTATATGGTGGGGCCAGCTCATGATCATATTTTCACACATGTCTGAGTAATCTGGAATCAATTATTGCTCATTATTAGCATATTTCAAATATAAAGTAAAACTGCTCCTGCACTGCGTGTCTGTTTTTTATAATAAAGAACGTGAGAGTAAAAATGAACAAAAAGCAAGCTGAAATTTTATTGCTTCGATCAAGTTTGACGTTACTGAGAATTCGGGCACTCCTTGTACAGTCCACAATGCTAGAATAACATTAAGGAATGGTGAACGAAACTTGGCTATCGGCCGCACCGAGCGAGCTGCAAGAGAGCACGAGCACATCCTGCCTACATGCCAAGTGGAAAACGTGGAACTCCGCAGCGAAACCCTGCTGTTTCAGGCCTGCTGTTTCAGTGCTGATGAAACCCTGCTGTTTCAGTGTAGGTGTAGTGATTTTCGCGCACTGGGTATATAGTGCATAAAATGTCTCTTAAGGTGCTTATGCACAGTCGTTTCTTTTCTCTTCAAGGTTATAGTTTTTGCTAATTGCCATCGCAGAGGCCCCTTACACACTGTTCAAGGGGCTGAAAAGTATTCCTAATAAAGAAGTAAATTAGTTGTAGTCTAGAAGACGAAACGCTACTCTGAAAGGTGGCGGATACTACTCAGGCCAACAAGATGACGTTTTGTTGTCGCAGTGTTAAGGCTGGTTCCGCTATTACGACGCAACTTGTTGCGACTGCTGTTTTCCTTTATTAGCCAGTGCTGCAAATAAACACCTTGTAGTAGAAGAAATAAATAACTAAAGAAACTCAGCTGCAAGCCAGCGTTTCCTTTGTTCATCTGTGTTTTCTGTCTTCGTCTAAAAACTAAAGCACACTTGAATCGTCCGTGCATTCGAGAATACACCGACGCATCCGTTATGCAACACATGCTAGCCGTCCTTCCTGCAGCTAGTCGTCAGCGAGTTTCTCCTGTCGGCAACTGATACCGACTGCGCTCGAGTGGATAGGCGAAGGAATCTGAGTTGACGCTTTCGCGTCCCCGGATATACCAGCTACCGTCTTGATATCGCCCGGACTTCTCTTTCTCGGCAGCGACGATGAAATCTGCCAACGATGGCGGGGAGTTTGTCTACAACGGAAGACAAGTAGGGCGACGACGACGTTTCTATCTACACGCTCGACCATGGCGACTTTCCAGGGACGTCATTTTCTCTAGCAAATCACCTGGGGACTCTCGTTTCCTCAGCACATCGTTTTTGTCTGGATTCATGTTTCCATGTGGCCAGCGCCTCTGGGGATAGAGAGATCACTGGTGCGTGAAATGATTGCAGGCACCTATGGAATCCATTAGGAGTCTTACTGTTCTTCTGAGGAATATTTTTTTTCAGTGTGACTTCACAAACCTTTTCCTAACTCAGGACAGCTTAAGTACTATATTAGCCGAAGCGATTCGCAACGTCGTAATTAGGAATACTTGTTAAGGGTGCATTCATGCAAAACATTTATTTCTATCGTTCTGCTCAATAAGACGCGCCCATTTTAACTTAAATTCAACAACTAGAAATGAATAAGGACTAGAATCTATGTAAAGCTCGATATATGTCGTGCTTCAATTTTCTGCTCTATGCTTAACGGACCTGATGAAACGAAATGAACAGCTCTTGCTGTGGACAAGTAGTAACAACTGTAGGTTTAATCACACGAAAGAAGTAAATCAGTCAAAACCCTATGGAATACACACGCTTTTCTTCTCAAAAAAAGGTTATGAATTAAGTAAGGCTCGAGCGGAGCATAGACTTCGGAATAGATTAAGCTTTCAGGAACTGCTAAGGACCGACGCTCTTGGCGCATGTTGTGTTGAGCAAATTCAGTGCATCTTCGTGGATATTCGCTTCATGTCACTAGCCCCTTAATTAGGGAGGCAATCGCCGGCATTATTCCAAGGGCTGACGTATCGGGCCCCCGAATCGCACCACGGCAGCGCGGATAATTCAGTGTTGGTCCTTTTGATGCGCTAGCCAACGCATTCTGTGGTCCAATGAACGAGGCAGAGTCGAGAGTTGATAAGAAAACAAATATATATTATCAAATACGGCCGAGCGAACAAAAAAGAAAACGTCTACACTCGACAGTTATATAGTACAATACGTCACCAATCACTAGACAATCAAAACTACGGGCTAAACAACAAGTCAGGATACACTCAAAAAGAGGCACGAAAAACAACACGCGCTACCATGCAATCTCATGCATTAACTAACCAAGACACTTATAAGCTACAATGTTCATCAAACGTATTCAGTCTGAAGCTATTGTAACAAATCTTAAATGCGTCTCTTCAAGGAAACACTCAAAGTCCAGCGCTGGTTGTCATCCTTTTGCGTCCTGAGGTTTTTCTTCCGTCAAACTCTCGCGTCTTCAACTGACCACACTTCAATGACAGAGCCTCGTCGCCGGTAACACGTCGGCCACTCACGCGCTGCCTACTGCAGATCACGTCTTCACCCACGGTAGTATAAACACACTCATCTCTTGCTTGTAAGACAAGCCTTCGTCGGCACTTGGAGTTTGGTCGGCGTGGTGGCAGCGTTTTCGAGGGGAAGGAGAGGCGCGCGCATGGCATCATTTGGAGCTTATTATTTCTTTGCGGCGGCTTATGTCGCGGTTGTCCGGTGCCTAGATTTCTGGCAGCAGTTAGAATTTGGAGGCACGCACTTTCTTCCGTGCTCGTTTGCGACACTTCACACCATTACTTGCGTCACAAATTCTTCGTTATTCATGGATTTATAGTAATCTGACATATATGGGCATTGCGATAAGATTTTTTGTGCACATACTATAACGTACTGGCGTAGCCCCTTCAACAGGTCTGAGATGGGAAAAAGGAAATACATTGTATATGCTCAAATATGCAAAAAATCAGTGTCTTGGCTGGTTATGTACGAAACGGTATAGGCCGCAAATTGTGCTAGCATCCATGCTGAGCAGGAACAAAGATTTTCACAAAACTGCAAACTGCTCCTGCGATAACACAAACGTGGGCTCACGAGACCGACATGATTTATAATTGGTCATAACCTCGTAAGAAAATGTTGCGTCCTTCACTGTTAATTTAGTTGAAATGAAGCTAATGTGCGAACAAAGCACGAGCTAATGCTGGTTTGAAGGACTCGATGCTCCACGATAACTTCTTCTCACAAATGGCACAAACACATCTGCTTTGGTCGCGTAAGCGAGTTTGCTAAGTAGGCGCCCGTCTTTGGGCTATAACACCGGTGGATCAAAACATGTAGACACGTTAAGTAACAGCGCGAGAGCACAGGCAGGCTTGCGCCATACATAATTCGCGCAAAAAATACACGCCAGATGACGTACAACAACAAACGGGATACAGCGCAGATGAAGTTACCCGATACCTATCAGTAGCAATCACACGAAGTCAACAGAATATAACGAAAGATGTTTTCAAAGGTAACGCACATGTCAGAGATATCGCTGAAGGTCGCAGGTCGACAGAGCTCTTGAAGTTGCACGCAGTATGTGACATGCCATCACGTTTCGCTGAGCAGCTTTCGTATATTGTATCCAGTTTATCAGTTAGGTGTTCAGTACTTAACCTGCTGCCGTTACAATCAATACATACGTCATATGACCAAAAAAGGAAAATTGTGAAAAAAACTTACCCCGGCATTGTATTTCGTGAACAGTGAATTCTGCTTTATTCATTGTCCTTCTGGACTGTCTACTAGCTGCCGTATGCACGCTGTTGCCACCACCAGCTACACTGCACTCCGGATGATAGAACATCGATCAGACGGCTGCTGTGATTTACTTGAAGACATGGTCTCAAAATTCTTTGACAGTGGTAGGACCAACACGAAATATACGTATCACCCCAAGCTTACAGCAAGCTCAGATAAAAAAAAAGACGACCAGTACTTTTAAAAGAGCAACCTATTTCTGTTAAAAATACCTACTTTAGGGAAGAAACCAATGGGCTCTGTGCATACGACACTTTTTATACAATTTATGCAGAATCGATGGCTGTAAAAGCCATAACTTTCAATGCGGATCATTGAAAGTTCAAAAAGAGTTCCCGATGAGTGACATAAGTCTTCACGTCTTGCAACTAGGTTTGGTCCGTAAACATTGTCCGCGGTATTAGCCCGATACGCCAATGTCGCCGCGGTAACGCAATAATTCTCTTTACGTTAAAATTTGATACGTTGCTTATGATTTCACTTTTTTACTTCTTTACACCGACCAGACTGCCCTGGCAAATATTGATGACCACAATTTCGGTGAAAACGGACGAGACCATTCGCCAACCCAAAGATTTCTCTTTCCCGCCCATGTGGACAGATATATATATATATATATATATATATATATATATATATATATATATATATATATATATATATATATATATATATCCAAGGAGTGTAGTGTATATTAGCCAATATTCTTTAGGTACACATAGCAGTTGTAGCCTAAAGTACGCATACCATGCCTGACGGAGAGAAACGTAGTGCAGGTATCGTTGAACACGAACATCAAATATACACTCTATAGTCTAGAAACTGCCTTTGTAAAAATAGAAGCTTCACATAAGTAATTTGCTCACAACTGCGCCACACGTTCATGCATTTTGCTCCGGTGGGCAACAGAAAAAGAAATAGTCCCACCAGGCATTAATTTCCTGGAAAGAAGACTTCGGACATCAACCTTCTTCAATGAACTCAGTATAACTCTTATGCTTGTGATAACAAGCCTAAAGTCATCAACTATTGAGCGAATTATTATACCACGTTAGATTAATGAACGCAGGAGAACCGTCAGATCCACTACACTTTGCTCACCTGTGATGAAGCATTCTTGACGTCGCCGATGATTCTCTCAAGAATATTCTTGCAAACTAATCCTCAGGTCGTTTCAAAGTTGTCCCGCTGAGGAATAATTCGGATAAAGTCATTGACGTTGCACCAAATGAGAGTGAATCGCATCCATGTGGAACAAAGTATACGGAATCTTCGTTTAACGCGCACCGTGCTAAGAGAAGGTTCTTGATTTAAACATGGTTCGGTGGCGCACTGTGTTCTTCAGCACATCTTTGAAACAAAATTGTCAATATGAGAGAACAAGTAGAGACATCTCGAAGAGATGAAGATGCGAAACAGCTCGAGTTGCGGAAACACCGGAGTTAACGACGGCGCGCACCGATATTCCGTTAGTTCTGCGCGCCAGGCGCAAACCACCGGGGAAAGCGCACGACGTGAGGACTGTCGGAGAGCGCTACGGAGTCACGAATGAGAGCTGTCAGCGCTGGCGTCCACGCTGTGGTTCACGAACTCGAGCCCACAAATGGATAGCGCGGCTCAAACAGGCCGCGCTCGCGCGCCGCGGATCGAAGAGGCGGACCGACTGGGCGTGTTGCTCCCGCGGTGAAATAAGCCGCTTCTCGCGGTGCAGCGCTGGGAGGAGCCGCCCGAACAGCGGCCGGGAAAGAAAGAGAGAAGGTAAAAAACACACACCGGCGGCGGGGAGAAAGTTCGCGCCTGCGCGAGAGTAGCCTTCTCGTACGGGACGAAAAAGTGAGCCCTGAATGCCGCTTCTGGTAACCACGAGGGGCGGACCTCCACGTGGTGGAGAGGTGGAAATCGACCGCTTCTGTTGCGCCATCTGGAGATGATTGAAGGAAGTGAGGGTGTCTATCGCTCGCTGCTAGCGACCTATAATCAGCTGCGGCACTGGGATACGATTTGCGCTTCGCTTTGATCGAAACACTTTAGGGAAGCTTACGTCGGCACCGAGCAGAGGCCTATATTACTTAGGAGCGAGATCGGAAGGAATGCGCATTGCGAAAACGGCACAGAAACCGAGAGTGCAAGTATCTTTTCAGGACTGAACAGCTCTTGCGATATTGGAACGGTACACTGCGAAGTACCTCCTTTTTTTTTCTTTTCTTGGTCGTTCTGGTTTCATTCGGTCTTCAATAAGGAGAGGAAGAATACGGAGATGGAATTTGAAAAAAAGTGAATAAGTAGCTTACAATGTTCTACAGGAGCCCAGCGCAACACTTATACTACTGTGGTTGCTAAAATGTAATATACACATAGGCGTAACAGTCGGGGGGACAAGGGAGGCGCTAGCCCCCCACTGAAAAAAATTGGGGAGGCTGAGCCCCCCACTTTTGATAGTGGTCACTCTTACTGCGCGTTGGGGAACCTGTCAAGTAAGGTGAAGTCTTCCGTCCCAACAGTAATCTATGAATTATGTTCTTACGGCAGAATGAAAATGTTACGATGCAACGCTACACCACAATGAAATTTTGCCAACACTTCCTCTTCGATGATTTTCCTTGTGGGCTCATTGCGATGCGGGTCCCCTATGTGACACCTTTGCATCTTGTGCTGTAGTATTGGAGAGCAGGTAAGCGTTGAACAGGCGCCCTATGATATTACATCAATTGTTCATGCTTTTATTCTCTTGTGCCCTTTTGATGAAGTTACAGATGGGAACGCGCGAACTTTTTCAAAGACCGGTCAGGCATTGGCATCTTCCAAAAAATAATTTTCTTCAAAAAGAATATATCGTCACCACTGCTGTGTTGAAACTGTTGCGAGCCGATGAGTGTGACGAATCGTTTTGGACGCAGAAATCGGTATAGCGCGCCAAACTCAGTTAAAATGTGATTGAGTTTCGTGGTACCTAGAAAAGCAAGTCATGTCACCTCGGAGTATGCAAATTTATATCAAAGTGCGAGCGTGTCGATGAAGTTCTCTCTCTCTCTCTCTCTCTCTCTCTATATATATATATATATATATATATATATATAAATATATATATATATATATATATATATATATTGTTAAGGCGTTTATTAGCCGGCAACGAGCGAGAATATACAATGGCGACAGTCACAGCCAAGCACGGGCTCTCAGCGCGAGCGGCGTCCTTGTTGGGTAGCCCCACTAGAAGGTACTCAAGAGTTCAACCCATTTCATAGTTCGGAGGCTTCGCTACAATTACCCCGGGGTCGAAGAGGGAGCCACCTGGCGACCTAACAGCTTGTTATTATGAGCGGGTCATAATAAGCCTTCAGGCGCTCCACGTTGACGATGTCTTGCCCACGGCGGCGCATGTCCGAAGATTGTTCAACGGGTTCGATCAGATAGTTGATGGGTGAGGTGCGCTCGATGACACGGTAGGGGCCTTCGTATTTGGGACGTAGTTTGGAAGAGAGGCCAGTGGCAGAGGTCGGGATCGAGAGCCATACAAGCGCACCAGGAAGGAACGTGGGCTCAGAAGTGGTGGAGCCATCACGGATACTCTTCTGCCGCTCTTGCTCTTGCGTCGTAAATGTCTTGGCAAGCTCGCGACACTCTTCAGCAAGCCTGGCTGTCTCGGAAATAGGTGTACACTCAGATGGATCCGGCGTGTACGGGAGTATCGTGTACATGGTGTGCGACGGGTGCCTTCCGTACAGCAAGTAGAAAGGTGAAAAACCAGTCGTGCTCTGAGGGGCGGTGTTGTAGGCGTAGGTGACGAAGGGCAGTATATTATCCCAATTAGTGTGGTTGGCAGCGACGTACATAGAAAGCATGTCGCCGAGGGTGCGGTTAAAGCGTTCGGTGAGGCCATTCGTCTGTGGGTGGTAAGCAGTAGTTTTGCGGTGGACAGAATGGCACTCCATCAGAATGGCTTCGACGACTTCCGACAAGAAGACACGGCCTCGATCGCTGAGAGGCTCTTGGGGTGGTCCGTGGCGCAGTATAAATTGATGCAGCAGGAAGGACGCAACATCGCGCGCAGCAGCCGCAGGGAGAGCGGCGGTTTCGGCGTATCGCGTTAAATGGTCAACGGCAACGATGGCCCAGCGGTTACCAGCCGACGTCAGAGGAAGTGGTCCATACAAATCGATCGATACCTACGCGCCCAAAGGGACGGTCAGGGCAAGATAACGTGGTTGTAGACTAGCGTGCGACATGTGGGCTGACGGTTTACGGCGTTGGTAAGTGAGGCAAGAGCGAACGAACTGCTGCACATAGCGGTACATCCCGCACCAGAAGTAGCGTTGTCGAATGCGATGGTAGGTTTTGAATACCCCAGAGTGCGCGCATTGCGGATCAGAATGGAAGGATTCACATATCTCTGACCGCAGACTGCGGGGTATCACGAGTAACCACTGCCGGCCGTCGGCGTCGTAATTGCGTCGGTGTAGGAGGCCGTCACGAATGGCGAAATGGCGAGCTTGACGACGCAATGCACGCGTGGATGGCGTTGTGGATGGATCAGAGAGCATGTCGATGAGCGGGCCGATTCAATTATCCTTTCGCTGTTCGGTAGCGATGATGTAAACATCAATGGCAGAAACAACAGCCGAGGATACTGAGCAGAGCACATCACCTTCAGGCAGAGGGGAGCGCGAGAGGGCGTCGGCGTCAGCATGCTGGCGTCCGTTGCGGTACAGCACGCGGATATCGTAGTCTTGTAAGCGAAGAGCCCAACGGGCGAGACGGCCTGAGGGATCCTTCAATGATGAAAGCCAGCATAGTGCATGATGGTCGGTGACGACATCGAATGGGCGACCATACAAATAAGGTCGAAACTTTGTAAGAGCCCAGACGATCGCCAGGCGTTCTTTCTCCGTGACGGTGTAGTTTTTCTCGGCTCTCGTGAGCGTACGGCTTGCATATGCTACGACATATTCAGGGAATCCGGGTTTTCGCTGCGCCAGGACAGCGCCGAGGCCTACTCCGCTGGCGTCCGTGTGCACCTCCGTTGTGGCTGTAGGGTCGTAGGGGCGTAAAATGGGAGGCGACGTCAACAAATGGCGGAGCTTCGCGAACGCGTCGTCGCACTCGGATGACCACGAATTGAAGGGCCCGTTGCTTCCAAGGAGCTTCGTCAGCGGTGATATCATCGTGGCGAAATTTCGTATGAAGCGTCGGAAGTATGAGCACAGGCCCACGAAACTACGCAGTTCTTTGAAAGATGCAGACTTGGGGAATTCGGCCACGGCCTGAAGCTTGGCAGGATCAGGAAGAATGCCGTCTTTGGACACGACGTACCCCAGTATGGTGAGTTGCCCTGCTGCAAAGCGGCACTTTTTCAGATTTAGTTGTAAGCCGGCATTGTTCACACGTGCGAAAACTTCTTTCAGACGTTGGAGATGCGTGGAGAAATCCGGAGCAAAGACAATGACATCGTCGAGGTAACACAAGCACGTGTACCATTTCAAGTTGCGCAGAACGGTGTCCATCATGCGCTCAAAGGTCGCAGGTGCATTACATAGACCAAACGGCATGACGTTGAACTCGTACAAGCCGTCTGGCGTGACGAAGGCGGTCTTTGGTCGAGCGTCGTCAGCTATGGGTACTTGCCAGTACCCCGAGCGCAGATCGAGAGAAGAAAAAAAATCGGCTCCATGAAGGCTGTCAATCGCGTCATCGATGCGTGGCAGTGGATAAACATCCTTCCGGGTGATCTTATTGAGCCGTCTGTAGTCCACACAGAACCGCACAGAACCGTCTTTCTTCGCAACAAGAACAACAGGAGACGCCCATGGACTGTCGGAGGGCCGAATAACGTCGCGTCGGAGCATATCGTCAACCTGATCATTAATTACTCGACGTTCAGCAGGCGACACGCGATATGGACGTTGCCGTAAAGGCGGATGGGCCCCAGTGTCGATGCGATGCGTAACAACGGACGTGCGACCGAAAGAACTTCGCCCGACATCGAAAGAAGAACGATATTCTTGTAACAGGTCCAGAAGTTGGAAACGCTGTACGGCCGTAAGGTTGTCAGCGATGGAGGGGCCAAATACATCAGCAGACGACGAATCAGAAGTGGAAACACCATTGATGGTACACGACCTGGGAGCGCGCGTGTCATCGGGTACGTCCAGGGCTTGTGCGTCGTCGACTGGTTCCACTCTGCCGAGACATTCCCCTCGAAGCAAGGTAACAGCGTACGGGAACGGGTTGGTTACAAAAATAGCAGTGTTGCCCTGGTTGACCTGCACGGTCGCGAAAGGTACTAGCAACCCTTTACTGCTGCAAGCGCGGTCAGATAGCGAAACAAGTCCAATGGTGTCGGAGAGACCAGCGCAGTAGATAGACACAGCCGTCGTCGAGTTTGGAGGCACTCTTGTATCGTATTTCGTTAGAATCTTGCTCAGTGTAGGGGGACTGTCTTCTGGCGTCAAATGCGAGAAGGGTGAGAGCTCAATTTCGGCGGCGGCACAATGGATGACGGCGTCATGGCGGGAGAGAAAGTCCCATCCCAGGATGACGTCATGAGAGCATGCCTGAATGATGATGAACTGGGCGACATACAGAACGTCCTGGATGACAACGCGAGCTGTGCACCCTGCTGTAGGATGAATCCGGTGCAAACTTGCAGTACGGAGGGATAACCCAGAAAGTGGCGTCGTCACTTTTCGAAGTAAACGGCAGAGTTTTTCGTCCATAACTGATACGGCAGCTCCAGTGTCAATAAGAGCCGATGCACAAACAC